ACGAATCCTAAGGGGAAAGGTCCCCCACACAAGGTTAGACAAGCCACTTACCTCGAACCGGCTCAATATCAATAGAAACCACGCCTTTGCCACGAGTATCCGACTCCAAATGGCCCAAATCTATTTAATTAATTACATATCGTAAATAATATTGCAAACAACCGATTCCACTATTAAATTTAGAGCTAGGGCGCGAAAATAGGTAAAATGACCAAAATGCCCCTCCAGCCATCGTCTCGGAATCGAATAATTTTTACGTTTTCAGAACCCTCGTACTCTCACGAGTCTAACCATATAAAAATCTCCCAAATCGGAGGTCAAATGACCCCTCAAAAGCCCATAGTTAGGTCTAAGAAGTTTACCCACTTCCCATTCAAAAACACGAAATTAAAGGGTGAATTTGCGATTAGATTAATGGGTTTTAGTCATAGGAGAGTAGAGAATCGTTACCCAGTGATTGCCCTTGAAAAACCCTTGAAATTGCTCCCAAATCCGAGCTCCAAACCTTGAGTTTTGATAAAAATGGCAAAACCTCATTTTTGAAATGTTAAGTACTGTTCAGGGGTCTAAAGCATCGCGAACGCGAAAGGCAGCACGCGTTCGCGAAGAAGGAAAATATAAGGGACCAAAAATGCCCTTCGCGATCGCGAAGGAATAGATGCGAACGCGAAGGCCTGGGTTCAGTGAACTACGCGAACGCGACATAGGTCATGCGAACGCATTGAATGAAAATCAAGCCTAGCCCTTGGAGTCCAATAAGTCTATGCGAACGCGACAGCCCTGACGCGAACGCGGTTAAGAAACGTGTGAAGCTACGCGATCTTGGAGCACTAATTGCGAACGCAATGAACAAACTTGTCATCCTCCAGAATTACTCTACGTGAACGCGTAGAGGAGGACGCGAACGCGTAGAGGAGGACGCGAATGCAAAGAGGAAGAAGGCCAAAGATACGCGAACGCGTGGATGATACCGCGAACGCGAAGAAGGAATTGGGACCTGCACAGCTGAAGGATTTTCTGCAACACTTTGAAACTCCAAAATGCTCCGTCGAGCATCCGAAATACACCCGAGGCCCCCGGGACCTCAACCAAACCTGCGGACAGATCCCATAACATCCTTCAAACTTGTACCAATCCTTAAACCACCTAAAACAACGCCGGAAACACGAATTAATCAAGGATTCAAGCCTAAGAACTTCAAATTCCAACAAAACACGCTTTCGATCAAAAACCTAACCAAACCTCGTCCGATTGACCTGAAATTTTGCACACACATCCCAAATGACATGACGGAGCTACTGCAACTTCCTGAATTCCAATCCGACCCTCGGATCAAAAACTCACTACCGGACCGGAAACTTCAAAAATTCAAACTTCGGCATTTCAAGCCTAAATGAGCTACGAGCCTCCAAAATACATCCCGAACACGATCCCAACCCCGAAATCACCTAACGGAGCTAACGGAACCATCGGATTTCCATTCCGAGGTCTTCTTCACACTGTTCCGATTACGGACCATTTTTCAGTTCTAAACTCTCATTTAGGGACTAAGTGTCCCAAAACACTCCGAATCCCAACACCGAACGTCCCGGCAAACCAAAATAGCAGAAATGAACTTAGGGGAAGCAGTTGATGGGGGATCGGGGCGTAAATTCCAAAAACGACCGGCCGGGTCGTTACAAACATCTTCCATTTTGTCTTGAAATCCAACGAATTCTTTAGATTGGTTGCAGGCTTGAACTCTCTGTGAATTGGTAGGGGGTCATTGACATTGTGTATTGGCAATTGGCCATTGAATGCCCTAGTCTGCCACACTTTTTGCATAAAAAGTTAACTCCCTCATAGTGGATTTCCTGCTTATGTTGGCCAGTGAAAACATAAGGGGTTACTGGCACTTCAAGAGGAATTTCAATGCAAAGCCTAGCATATCTTCCTCTAAGGGTAGAGGAAGTACATGCATCAATCTTTAATAATCTACCAATTTTCTTACCAACTTTCTTTAAAATGAGACCATCATAGAATTCAGTTGGTAATTGTGGTAGTCGAATCCAAATGGCTGCATGGGATATTTTAGCCTCCGAAGCAATGAAGTTCGGAACTTATTTTTGGACTGAAAGAAAATGACCAAAAATAAACCAAGGACCATTATGAAGTGCTTTAAGCATACTATCCTCATTATTGAACTTTGTAATGTAGAAGTCTGAACCTAGATCAATCAAAGGGAAATTTTTTTTAATTTTTCACAAATCTTGAATTTTTCTTTGAAGTATATGGTGTTGGATTCTTTTCCCTTGAAGCTTGATTATGCTTGAAAATCTCCATGGATGGTACATTCTTTGAAGGTCCTCCGGAGATAATTGAACCCCTTGTATTTGATCCTGATCTGAGTGAGTGGGTTGATCTCCATTCACTTCATTATGTGATACATAATGTCCTTCAGGATTTGGATCATTGATCATGTGGATTTGATCTTCATGCATTCAATCTATTAATTTTTGTTTAAAACTTGGGATAGAAGGGTCAGGCACCATGGTGGATTGTGCTGTAACAATATCCGGTGGATTTGGAGGGATTAGATTAGGGGAGTTTGGAAGTTGCATAGTGATAATGTCAGAAGTTGTTTGAAGATTGGTAGGGGTAGTAATTTTCTTAGTGAGAAGGGAGAGTCTCTCTCTTTACAATCTGAGAATGTTTGATGATGTTTTGATTCCTAAGTAGGCTTTAATTTGTCTTCTATGATATTTAACTTAACTTATTTGCGTAAACATTAGACTAATCCTTTCATATTATCCCTTGTTATTTAGAGTGTCAACCAATTTTGTTTGAGTATATTTTTATTAGAAATTTTTATATTTTACAAATTTGTGACTTAAATTTTTGAATGTATAAAACAAAAATTTAATTTATTTATTTTTAAAAAGTGATGTTAAGAAATATCACGCCGGTTTGGTTTTTTTTTTGTGATAATTTTTTTTTCCTACCAGAATAATAATTTTTTAAGTAATGTTAAGAAAAAAGGTCTAAATTTACTCATATGCAATTTAAAGTTGCAAAAATTTTACTCTTTTTTATATTTTGATCCATTCATATCCTTCTTTTTTTTTAAATTATTTCCTATTTTCTTATCATAAAAAATATATGGACCGTATGTTTCAAAATAATGTACATTGTATGTTAGTATTTCCCTATCAGTACGATCAAGTATGTACATTAACACTTTTAGATTATTTTTTCTTCAAACACTAAATTAATGAATGCAAAATATATGTTTGAACCATGATAAATTAATGTGTATTCTCATTTTAATTTTTGTTTAGTCCGTTTAAAAAAGAATGGCAACTTTTAATCCTTTTTTTTGGTAACTACCTTATCTTGTTAATCGTCAAGGATCAATAGCGAAGCTAACACAACTTGCTATCAGAATTCATGAGAAAAGGAAATACTATACTCCTTAAAAACGGAGGCTATGCATGAAAGACATGTTCCTATGTGTTACTCGAACACTACAAACATAGGCAATTTCCTTTGCAATATACTCCCATACTCTGATTTTTTATTCAGAGATTTGAAGGTTCTTTTCAATCCATTCTTGATGAACTGCTTCTGCATACACAATTTTGAACATTTGTGCCTGTTCAGATTTTCCTTTAGAGCATTTGATTGCCCATTAGGTAAATTGCTACTAATCCAGTGCTCCCAAGTACTGTATCTACAGCCATTGAAATAGTTTGTTCAAGATATTCTTTGTGCATTCACAATTCATAAACAAATGTTCTCTCATTTCTTCTTGTATTCGGCAAAGCACATATTGAGTATCTACAACAATCCCCCATTTGCTTAGTCTATCACAGGTCAAAAGCCTTCCATGTAGAATTAACCACATTGTGAATCTTGACTTTGGACATACTGCATTGTTGAACATTAAGCTCTTCCATTTCATTCGACAATAGTCACCAAGAAAGGATAGGTAGATTTGTATGATCAAACTTCTTTTGTGTGTCTGCTCAAAGTGTCTGTTCTCCGGTACTTCTTTAGCCTCAAAAACTCTCTTCACCATCCAGCAAGCTTGTTGTGGTATTGTCATGTTAGTGATCTGATGCCCTTTGATATGTGTGTATCCAGTGAATTCACAGCTTGTCCTGCTTGTGTACTGAGTCCCAACAAGTCTTTGCTATTGCTATTTTGTTCCAAAGTTTGAAGTTAGTGAGGTTAAGGTCACCCCCAGCTTTGGGCATGCAGACTTTATCCCAAGCAGCCAATGCTTTCAATATCATTGATCCCCGACCATATGTAGGACCTATAAAATGGTTCAATAAGCCTGATCACTTTTGTAGGTATTACAAATAATTGTGCCCACAAAGTTGTATGCCAAACATAACACTCTGTACTACCTGAGTTATCCCAACATAAGACAAGGTCTTAGCAGTCCAGAAGTAATTATGGCATATCATTTGTTCAATGAGGGACTGCCACTGAAGAACACTGAGCTTCTTGGTAGACAGTGGTACTCCAAGGTACTTGAAGGGCAATTCACCAACAGAGAAACCTAAATACTGCAGTATTTATTGTCTATGATCTGAAGTAACCCCTCCAAAATAGGCTTCACTCTTATTTAGATTTGCTTGTAGTCCAAAAGCTTGAGTAAACTGGTAGAACTTCTGTTGAATTGCATGCACTTATTTCAAATCCCCTCCAGCAAAAAGTAGCAGATCATTAGCAAAACTAAGGTGTGTAATCCCTAGCTTGGCACATCGAGGATGGTATTTGAACTCTTTAGCCATCTTGAGACTAGTCGCGCTTCTACTCAGATATTCCATTGCTATGGCAAATAGAAAGGGTAACATTAGATCATCTTACCTTAGTCACTTGGCAGCATTGAAGGCTATTGTTGGTTCTCCATTAACTATGATGGAGTAATTGACTGTTTGTATGCACTTCGTTACCCAAGAGATGAATAACAGAGGGAATCCCAATTCTGTCAAAACTTGCCTTAAATATGGTCATTCCACAGAGTTATAAGCTTTTTGCAAATCAATCTTGATCATGCATCGAGGAGGGATTTTCTTTCTAGAATATGCCTTCACCAACTCATGTGCTAAGATTATATTATCAACAATCTTCCTCACAGGTGCAAACCCTGCCTGAGCTTCACTGATAACTATGGTAATGACTCCTTGCATTCTTGATGCAAGGATCTTGGAACTAGTTTGTATAAGACAGTGCAGCAGGCAATTGGCCAGAATTCCTTGACAGTTTTTGGCTTGCTAGTCTTAGGAACCAATGTAAAATAGCAGTGCAATTGATAGCTATAAATAGTTTTTCAGCAGCAAAGAAATCCAGGACAGCTTCAATAGTCTCATCTTTGATAACTGGTCAAGTCTTCTTGTAAAACCATGCATCATACCCATCAACACCATGAGTCTTATCTTCTCCAATAGAGCATAGCCCTTCATAGATCTCTTCTTCAGTCACATCTTTACATAGGGAAATTATTTGTTGTTGTGTAAGGTTTGGACCTTTTTGCATCACCAGTTTATCTATAGCAGGAAGTGAATCAGCAGCGGACCCCATCAATGACTTGTAGAAAGCCACAATCTCCTCTTTGATGGCTTCAGAATCATTTAGCATGTTTCCAGCAATAGAAGTAAGTTCCAGAATTTGCTTTCTCTGGTTCCTTTCTTTCATAACAGTTGTAAAGTACTTTGTATTAGAATCACCTTATTTTATCCATCTTGCTCTAGCTTTTTGTTTCAAGGCTCCTTCTTCTAACAAGTCCCACTTCTCCAGATTTTGTATCAGCCCCTTATCTTCTAACAGTAGTTCATTAGAGCAATTGGTGGTTATGCTCCTATGGACCCTAGAAAGATCAATTCTGGCTTTCTCAATTTTCTTTCTTATAAATTTGTACTCTTCAATATTTAGTTTCCTAAGCACCGGCTTAAGTGTTTTCAGTTTCATCCAGATATTCTACATACTCTTGCTATGTAATCTCTGTTGCCATACTTGTTGAACAATGCTTAAGAAACTCTCATGCTCAGCCCACATATTGAAGAATTTAAAAGGAGTTTTCCTATTTCCTTGGCTAACAGTTAAACTTAGGCTCATAGGAGCATGGTCAGAGATGAAAGGAACATCATATGTAGTAGCTACATGACCCCATTGCATCAACCACTCATAATTGCCAAACATTCTATCAATTCAGCTCCATATTCTGCTACTCCCACCTTGCTTCTTAGACCACGTGTAATATTCACCCTCCCATGCCAATTTGTCACGACCCAAACCGATGGGTCGCGACGGGCACCCGGTACCTTAATCAACCGAGGACCAACATAACATATCTTTCTTATCGTACTATTATTGGTAACTGGGCCAACATGGCCACAACTCGTAATGTATAGCTATAAGTGGGAAAGCACTGTATCAATGAATCATTTTCCTTAAAACAAGAATACATATGGGCCGTCAAGGCCTCTGACATACTGTAAAAAATGAACCACTGTCTACAAATCCTCTAAGAGTATTAGACATCAAATGGGATAAGGTATCGGCCTACCCATAAGTCTGTAGCAAAATCATGACACGATGACTCCTAGACTCAGCTGCACTCCAAATAAGGTGGAGTCTTACCGATCCTTCGCTGAATACTAACCTCGTCTACTATGAGGGCTCGTCAAACTGATTGTCTATACCTGCAGGTATGAATGTAGCATCCCCAACAAAAGGACGTCAGTATGAATAATTTACCGAGCATGTAAGGCACATTAATAAGTATATAAAAGACATGGAAGATACATGGAGTAAATGGCTCAACCTGTAAGTCTGGATAACTCTGTAAATCATGAAATACTTATAGTGTCATGCATATGCGTATGAATGTCATGTCGTGTATAGGTATATTTGTTCATAACGTCATCAAGCCTCTGAGGTCATCCCATCATATCATCTTGGCCAATATGGGCAAAATCATCAACGTATACCAGCTGAACTGGTGGTGGTGCATATATAACGCTGTAACCTTTTCCCATATCCGATATACATATAATATACATATATACACGTATATAACGTCATCTGATCATGGGTCAATGTACATGTATAAATAAATGCAATGCATGAGGAGTACGTCAATAAAATCTCTTGGAATGTCATAAGACCATTATGCCTTTGAGTAATATCATGAAGTAAACTTTTTCAACTTACGTATTTCTCTGAGACCCATGAACAGAAGATGTAATAATAAGACACATGGGAATTCAAGAACATAGGCAGCTCTAATACTTTTACAAATAGAGTCATTTATGAGAGTTGTGCATTTGCTCGTTTCGTTCGTGTCGTATAGATCATGCCAAAAGGAAAGAAGGGATAGCCTTAACATACCTGAGCTGATTCTCTTGACAATCCTTCCAACACACGTCAATTGCGACAACATGTAACAGCGGATCGAAGTAGGGAAAAATCCTATGATATTCTTGAGAAATATTGCACCGTGTTCTCTTAGAATTGTAAATCCCGTTGCTATTACGCAGTATAACTTTGTATGAAATTTTGTGACTTTCGTGCGTTACTTTGCAATTGTAAGTGTCTCTATTTGTGATTTAGAGAGGTCCATCGTTACTTTTGTAACATAACATTCCTTAATGAGGTAAAAGACCTCTTGTCTTTGTGGATTTGTGGGCCCTACTTGCATAATGTCTAAGCCACCCAAAATTCATCTAACTTAGCCACTTTGCAACATAATTCATGAGCCACTAATTATAGCGGTGGGCTTCCACGTTGGGAAAGGACTTAGACTCATCCAAAATTTGGGATTATTAGCTAATCTCTTGATTAACTTGTTAGTCTCCCATCAACCAATAATTAACCAATTACCCACATAATTAAGAATTATCTCAAAATACCACTTACTTTTAACACACCTTATACACCTTACTCTCATGGTGATATGGTACCTTGTATGACATTAGTCTATAAATATGGGGTATTATAGCTTGGACCGAATTTTATCCCAAACTTCGACGAAACCCTTTTCTTTCGATTCGCTTACCATCTCACCTTCATGAATTTACTTATCACTTGTTTGAAATAACATAATACTTATAATCTCATTCCTGAACTTACGTCGATTAACTTACGGCGAAACTTTAACGTACGAAAATGCGGGATGTAACATTATGGCGTACTTCCACATACGAAAACATAGGGTGTAACACCAATTCACTAAGACCCAAATCTTGGACACACTTATTGAAGTCTTGAATTTCATCCATGCTGATTAGGTTATGATGCATTCTGTCTTGTAGCTCGTATAGAGCTAAAATATCGTCCAATCATCCATGGTGAGGATATCCTTTGCCTTATCTCTGTCAAACATTCCCATAATCCCTTCCTTTGCTCCTTGGAATTGAAACCATAACTACTGACAATATACAATCTTGATCCCCTATAATCCCTTTAATACAGCAATGAATAACTTGTACCTCTCTTTTAAGTAAAGTGACTGAGTAGTAGTTTGAATCCCATATCACCCAGACTCTTCCATTCACTACGTCATTATAGTTAGTAAGTATCTCCAAGCCAGGGGCAATATGGCAGCTTACTCTCATTACATTATGCTCTTTAACTCTAGTTTCAATGATACTTGCAAGCTTAATATTTTTGATCTTCAGATAATTTTTGAGTTCTTTCTGCTTGTACCACTTATTGATATCCCTGACATTTCACAATAACCAAGTCATTGGTTGGTGTTTCTGCCCACCTTTATTCATGAGGTAGGGAAAAGCTTCCACTGGTACCAGTTGTTACACTTTTAGAGCCACTCATGCTAGTAGTAGGTGTTAATGTAGGAAAGTCTCTAAGCTCAAAACTGGGCTAGCTTGATTTATGCCTTTGTCCATTGTGTTTGATATTGTGTTCCCTGCTCCCATTGCAAGTTGCCTCTGAGTATGCTCCTGGATCACCACTGGCAAGCAAGTTTGGATTTTATCTTGTATTGCATCAGTTTGGGTCTGACTTCTTCTGTTGACAGCTTCATTCATCACAACTTCTTTGTGCCCAGCTTCAGGTATCACAGGCCCCTTAGTTCTCCATTCACAATTAATTTTTTGGGTTTCTCTTCTTCTCTTTGGTTGCACTCCCTGCTGCTCTCTAGGAACTTGTTGATTGTGGCATACATGGCCAATGGTCTGGTATTTATCACGATAATTTGGCTTCCATTCATATACCAGTTCTTGCTGGAATTTCCTACCTCTAGGATCCAGAACAGTAATCTTTGCAGGCAAAGTTTTTGTAACATTGACTCAGCATCCTTGCATAGGAGATTCTTGTTTGTTTGGTGGTGCACTCACCGGCAAATAGAGGCTTCCCAATTGTACTGGAAATTTTGTTTCGTGCTTTGCTACCACAATAGCTCATAGGTAGTTCAGGGAAGATCACCCATAGATGTATTTCAGTGACGAACTCTTTGCTTAAGTCAAACTCTGGTGTCCATGGCTTGAGAATTATTGGCCTATTTCTAATAGTGTGAGGACTATCACAGAAGACTTTGTGCATGTCTACAAATGACTGAAACTTGATCATATAATAACCTTCATCATGAAGGAATAGGTCTGATTCAGCAATATCAAGCCAATGTTGAGCAATATAATGCTTCATAACTTATATACAAGGTTATCTCCAATTACGTAGGATATTATTAATGCAACACTCCATTTCTCCTCTGCCCCTCCACGTCTTGAGGATCTAATTTTACCTCTATTTGGCCATCCACAATCTGAGTTGGAATATATCTGAGGGTCATTCCATGAGTGGCTGCACGATTTTGTTGAAACAAATTGCCCTATGCTCGTGGCTTATATCTGCGATGTGCAGGGTTCATAGCTATATTGGGGCTCCCAATCGGATTCTTAATCATAGTAGTGGCTACAGGGGTCTCAATTTTATCTGTGGCTTGTTCCTTACTCGTTTCCTTTTTTTGTAAATCATTAGGGTCAGGCAAAGTTACTGTTTCATTGGTTTTCTCACTAACCCTAGGAGTGGCAGACTTACCAGTTTGCTCAAATAGTAATGGCGAACTAAGAGCCAATTTTCTGATCACCCCAGAGTTAATCGAAGAAGATGCTTCATCGTTCCCAGTCATCACTCCCTTGTTGTTCTGGTGTCTTCGATCCTTGTGTTTGAGCTTGAATTACCTTCCCAGCTTTTGCACCATTGATTACTGAACTTCCAAATGTAAGAATCGGTGTTCTCTTCGGCCTTCCTCGTCCTCTACCTTGCCCCCTTCCCATGGCAGACGCGCCACCGTATGTTAGCTAATGTGCGCTGAGAGCATGAGAGAGAAGCTGTAATATTTTTGTCACCTATCTTTTGATTTTAAATTTTATTGTCAACTTTTAAACTTTATTATAATTTAACTTTAAACTTCTAATTTTACACTTCGTGAGAAAATTTATAGTCACACCAATATCTATGACTTATTTTAAATCGTAAATTTTTAAAGTTATTTTTACCTCGTGTTTATTAAAAATTTAAAGGGGAGCCTTGGCTAACTAGTAAAGTTGTTGCCATGCGACCAGGAGGTCGCGGTTCGAGCCATAGAAACAGTCTCTTGCAGAAATGCAGGGTAAGGCTACGTACGATAGACTCTTATAATCTGGTCCTTTCCCGAACACTTGCGTGTAGCGGGAGCCTACTGCACCGGACTACCTTTTTTTTTTTGAAAACAAAAATTGCACATAAGTGCATGTAACAAAGAGAGTACTAAGCTAGTACTTGGCCATAGATTCCCAAATTTGTTTTAAAAAAAATAATTTGGATGAGGTTTGGTTTGAAGATAAAAATCAGTTTGGACATAATTTTCAAAACTTATTTCACTATTTTTATAAAAAAAAAAACATAAAATGTGAGTTATACCCATAAGTTTTAAAACTATCAACCATACAACACCAAACAAATAAATTTGTTAATATTGATGTCATTTATTATCATTATCACAAACCATAGTCCTAAATAGGGGTGTACATAGGTTGGGTTGGTTCGGAATTTTTTATTTATCAAACCAAATCAATTGAATCGGATTTTTAAATCTATGAACCAAACCAAACCAACAAAAGTCGGATTTTTCAATCTCGATTTTTTGTAGGTCTTCTCTGGTTTTTCGGGTTTTTCGCGATAAAATCTTCATAGCATAAGATATATAATTTATGCTCTAGTATTTTGTAGATCCTAGTAATATAAAATTATATAAGATGTTTTCCAAGAAAATAATACAAAATAATGTGAGATGAGTCATGATTATACTAAAATACTCAACAAGTCGCATAAAATAAATATTGCTAATTAATAAACCATAATGAAAATAAACTTAATCTAAAATTATTATGTCATGCTAAAATAAGTACTGAGTATTAATTACATGACCATATAATGATAAGAATAAGTTATGCACTTTCACTATCTAAACCAATGCAAAACTAAAAGAATAAATATATAATACTATAGTCATTCATACTTCCTAGTATTGATTGATTTTATTTGTTTGCATTAGTATTGGTTTAATTTTGCTTTGGGCTTTATTTGAGTTGCTAACTTTTATGGGCTATAAAACATATTTAGCCATTCAAAAATTATAAGTCCTAGCTTGAAATAATACAATAAAAGAGAGAACTATAAAAAAGTTTAAAAATTATTTATACTTACATTACAATAATTATTTTTATGTATAAAATATTTTTAAACTTGTATACGTGTAATGTCGGGTTGGTTTGGTTTGATTTTGACTTTTTCTAGTTAAAAAAGCAAACCAATTATGGTCGGATTTTTTCTTTCTAACAGCAAACCAAACCAAACCAAATCATATTCGGGTTTTTCTTCTCGGTTTGACTCAGATTATCGGTTTGGTGCAGTTTGTCGGTTTTCATTGTGCACCCCCAGTCCTGAACATAGATAAGTTTGGCACAAAATTATCATTTTTATAATGAACTATATAATACAACAACAATAACATACCCAGTAAAATCCCACTAGTGGGGTCTGGGGAGATAGAGTGTACGCAAACCTTACCCCTGCCCCGAAGAGGGTAGAGAATGAACTACATAATACACTATCCTAAAACCATAACCTAGTATTTTAATATCAACTGCTAATAACACAATTACTAGCCAATATAATTCGTCAAATTACAATAACATTACAAGATCCATCAGTTCCAAAGAAAATGATAGTAATTAGCTAGCAGATTAGTTGGGTCATAATAGATGGTGAATTTTTTTATAAAATACAAAATTTTGGGGTAATTTTTAAAAATGTTAAAAAATCCAATAGTAATATTTTGGGCCAAAAACATATCTTGAGCTAGTTTTGGGATTTGAAATTTTTATTTTTCAAAATTTTCCAAAATATGGATAAAATCTATAAACAATCATGTTTTGCCAAAAAAAAGGAAAAAAGTTGGCAAAATCTACGGCCAAACGAGGCTAAATTTAGTGTAAACATCTTGGAAACTTAAATTATTAATGGTCATTTGTGCAAATATTATAGTCCCTGCGTCTCATATTATCTGTCGTGATTACTAAGAATAGTTGTTTCAAATTATTTGTCATTTTAGAAGTTCAAGACAAAATAAATTATATTTTTAATTTTACACTTAATAGTAGTAATTGTTTTTGAAAATAGAGATAGCACATAAATGGAGTAAATATATAAATAAGGATAAAATAGTCTTAAACCTTTTATAATCAATATTTCTCGAGGGACGTGCAAAAAAGAAATCTCATAGATAATTTGAGATGGAGGGACTATGAGCCTGTTTGGCTTAGCTGATTTATAGTAGCTGATAAGCATTAGGTGCTGAAAATCACTTTTAGGTGCTGAAGTTAATCTAAAAAATAAGCAGTTACGTGTTTGAATAAAAGTGCTGAAATTAATAATAAGCAGTTGAAGAACTGGGTATACGAAGAATTTTTTTTTTAAAAGAAGTATTTTAGGGATAGAATAGTAAATATTTTGGTCAAACCTAAAGTGCTTATAAGCTGAAATTTAATAAGCTGGGGGAGACCAACTTATGGCTTTTGGCTTATTTTTGGTTTATAAACACTTAACTTATAAGCACTTTTAATTTTATCAAACACGTAGATAAGTCAAAAAGTACTTATAAGCTAGTTTGACGAGTTGCTTAGCCAAACACCTTCTGTTCACTAGGAAAAATCGTTAGCGTGACAATTAACTTTTTATGGCTGGATTCTGATTCTCAATCCCAAAATAGCAAAGTAAAAAGGGGCAAAAGTAATACTCCTAGATACTTTTTCTTAACACACAGAAAGTAATAGTCAAAGCCCCTCAATCTCAAGAAACTGAACATTTTTAAACACTCATCCAAATAATCATTTCATGGGTTTCTTGAAATGGGTTCTTGCCTTTTTCAGTCTATGCACATATTTAGCAACTCCCACTTTATCAGATTCTTTATTGAACAAAGAGGAGTTGGCAAATATTTCAGCCAATTTCTTGAATTTGGCAAAAAGTTCTGAACTTTTTGATTGGATGGTGAAAATTAGGAGGACTATACATGAAAATCCTGAGTTGGGGTTTGAGGAATTTGAGACTAGTAAACTTATCAGAAATGAGCTTGATAATATGGGAATTTATTACAAGTACCCTGTAGCTGTTACTGGTGTAGTTGGTTTTATTGGTACTGGAAAATCACCTTTTGTTGCTCTTAGAGCTGATATGGATGCTCTTCCTATGCAGGTTTTTAACCAATTGGGTTCATGTGAATTTCTAAATATTTACATATATCTTTTTTCTTGTCAATGTTTTAGTCATGGTAGTAGGTTTAGTTTATGTCTTGTGGTTTCTAGGAGTCTTTAAGTGCTGTCGGAGTTTTATATACCAGTGGAAAATATAGAGAATTTCTAGTACTTTTATTTTCATTTTGTATTATAGATTAAATGTAGCGATATGGTCAGGATTCATGTAGCTGATATCAACTTGTTGGGGATTGAGGCGTAATTATTGTTGCATTCCTTTATTGTCAGTGTTGGATTGTGATAATCTAGAATGAGTATATATGGTAGTGTCTTTATTCTAATTAATGATACTTTGTGGTAGAAGTTTGTATTTATATGATTTTTTGGTCTCTTTCTGCTTCATTTGATATGATTGACTAGGCGTAGAGTTTAAGAAAGAAAGACTTACTTTTGCCGACTTTTGCCACATACCAAAAGTATCCTTAGAACTTGTGATCTTTAAATAGGCCATGATATTCTTGTGGCGATAAGAGCGTGTCATTAAGGTAAAATTAGAAGTTCAAAGCTAAAGATTTTCCAAATAAAGAAAGGTGTCATTCTTTTTGGAACAGATTAAAATGGAAAGAGTTTTCGTATAAAATGAAACATATGGATTACTTTTCCTTCTTGGAGGAAGGGGATACGGTAGGGGGAAAGCATAGATGTAAAACTCTTAGCAAGTAATTTATTCTCTGCCTTCAATATAGTGTTTGATTGGTGCAGGAGGAAGTGGAATGGGAGCATAAGAGTAAAATTCCTGGCAAGATGCATGCTTGTGGACACGACGCTCATGTTGCTATGCTTCTGGGTGCTGCAAAGATTCTTCAGGAGCAGCGCGATGATTTGCAGGTTCATACTGCAGTTCTCTACCTTAGCTTGGATTCAAGAATATATGTCACTCTTCTATTTGCTAGCTAATTCTAATGTCATTAGTGTTTGTGCATGATAAAGGAAAATGTTATGGTATTCCTTTTTTGGGCCTGTTTTTTGTTTATAGAGTGGTGGTCACTTGGGAACAAATTAGAGTTTGGTTTTCTCTTTAGATTGAATGTGCTTTTTAAAGGATGATCACTCTTAGATGTTGATTTCCACCTAAGTAACTGTCTCATGAATGCATTCTACACATATCAATATTTGATCCCTCCTTTTATGTTTTGTTCTTTTGTCTAAACCACCAGTGACTGCCCATACAACAACAACAAACCTAGTATAGTCCCACAATTGAGGTCTGGTGAGGGTAGATAGTACACAGACCTTACCCCTGTAGTGAATGTAGAGAGTATGTTTTTAGTATACCCTCCGCACGAGGAAAAATGAGAAAAGAGCAATAGCAACAAGCAATAAAGAGAATAGAGACCTTACCCCTATAGTGACTACCCATATAACATGTTATAAAATTTGTAGTATCCTTGGCTTGAATAGAGAATTGACATGAGAGACTCTTGAATGTGGCAAAAGCGAAAGACTGACTGCTGAGCCCACTCTGGCCTCACAGGGCGGGCCCGTGTGGTTGCGAGCTGGAGCTGCCGGATCCAAAACCGAATCCTAAAGTGACCTCGAACTTTTCCTATAAAATTCTCTTTAGCTCAAAGAATTAGTGATCTATCCATGACCAGGATTAAGCTTGGGTGAAACTAAGTGGGGGTCCGACTGACTGATGTTGAAGAATCAGCTGTGAAGGAAGGTGCTCGCATGCGAAATGAGTTGTTTATCTTCTTTATAAGGAATTTTAATGTTATCTTATATTGGACATTTTGTTGTTTATTACCTGCTTATATGTTATGAGGTAAGTATTTGAGAAAAACAATTGTTTGTGTGCTTAGAGGTTTTAAAAGGGGTAAGGCGTCATAGATATAGTTATTTAGGACAAAAATGGTATGCTAATCGACATATCTTTTATATTTATTATCTCCAAACTTGGAGGGATGGCATCTCCAGTGCTAGGTTCCGAACCAAGTGAAGCTTTGAACACGACTTTTTTGTTACAGCTTGAGTAGTTATTTTTATAGGTACTGTTATGCTAAGATAACAGTACAACTGATTTGAGTGTGGTCAGGAACAGTTATAAGATAGATAAGGAATTTGGAATCAATAAAGTAAAGGGATCAGATAAATAGTTTGGAAGTGGAATAGTTTTTGATAATACAGGAAACTTGAACCCTCACGATTTTAGTTTGTCCTCTCGCGCCTCCATATATTTGGTGCCAAATTGTCGCCCATTTCCTTCTATCTGTGATAGAGTTTGGCTGTAAAAAATTGTGAAAGGGGACTTGCATAAGTGGAATGAGGGTAAGCTGAGCAACTAACAAAAAACAGTAGTTGCCCTCGGTTACCTTATAGTTTCTTAAATATAAAAGAAGCTATAGATCATCGATTGTGCTATTTAGTAAGGATCAATCTGGACCTAAATTTCTTCATTCAATTGATTTAGTCCTCTTGTTGCTGTGGCATGAATCTCAAACTGAACTTTCCTTTCAAGCGGACCAAGAACTCTTTGGTTTATCGGAAAAATTAGACCGGATGTAATCAGGCTTTTTTTTTAAGCTTGTTATAATGATGCTAGTGGTTCTGTTCAAGGATTACACAGTTGAATCAGCATATATGAGTATCATGGATGTTATCGGAAAAATTGTTGAGTTAGGAGTTGGGGATTGACGAAACTTTTTGATGGCAGGGAACTATTCTATTGGTTTTTCAGCCAGCTGAGGAGGGAGGTGGAGGAGCAAAGAAAATGCTTGAATCTGGGATACTTGATAGTGTTGATGCCATCTTTGGTCTGCATATTTCTGCCGTTCATCCTATTGGCACAGTTATCACCAAATCTGGCCCTATCTTGGCTGGCAGTGGCTTCTTTGAGGCGGTAATAAAGGGGAAAGGTGGTCATGCCGCAATTCCTCAGCACACTATAGATCCAATCTTAGCAGCTTCTAACATTATAGTTAGTTTGCAACATCTTGTTTCACGGGAAGCCGATCCACTGGATTCACAGGTGCTCTATCCCCCCTTTCTCTAGTGTATGTGAATCTAACACATGCACACATATCCAAGCTTGCTTGCATGTGTGCTCGTGATTGTGCAAAACTGCAAATATAGGCTGCTTTACACTCTTATTTGTGCTCGTGAAAAAAGTTTATAATTTCTTTCCCATCTTTGTCAGTTTGTTCCCGGAGGCTGAAAATTACTTGAGTACACTCTGATAGGCAATTAAGAAAATGCATTGTGAAAGGTTTTGTTTCCCAGTTTGCAAAAGATGCTTTGTTCAGGCAGAGCGATGTGTTCCGTTTCGCTGATTGAACACTGCGTTGCATTTTAATATATGGAATAGCTAGTCCAAAGGCGGATCCAGGATTTTTAACTTGATGTGTTTGACCTTTAAAGTTCTTAGCACTAAACTTATCGGACTTTTGAAATTATGGATTCAAAATAAAATAAGTAGTAGTTTTTGTCACATATATATTCATGTTTCATGTCAAAATACTACGTTCGGTTGAACCCGTGGCTAATAAGCTACATCTGCCACTGATAGCAACACTTGTAAAATTATTGTAACTCATCTGCATTTTTCATGTTAAAAATATAGTACGATTTGTGCATGTCTAGTACGAAAATAGTTAGACTCCCAGTTTATTGTGTGAGAAATTCCTTTACCCATTCTCCTTCTTCATCCTTCTGATAAAAACTGACATATTCTTGATCATTTATGTCAAATATTACCATGCCTTTTTCACATTCCAAGAACTTAGACTTCGGCATCTACAGCTTATCTACCCATTACCTAAAAGAGGCATGATTTTGCAGGTTGTTACGGTCGGTAAGTTCAAAGGTGGCGGCGCATTTAATGTTATACCTGATTCTGTCACAATCGGTGGAACTTTCAGGGCATTCTCAAAAGAAAGTTTCACGCAACTTAAACAGAGAATCGTAGAGGTATATCTTCAATATTAGTATTTGAATGCCCAAAGTATCATATGATTGTTGAATGATGCGTCACAAAAAAAAACGTGCTATGACTAATGAATGGTAAAACTCGATTTGTTTAAGTGAAATTTTCCTGGAAATAAGTTAACAGGTTATCACAAGACAAGCTGCTGTACAAAGGTGCAATGCAACCGTTGACTTTGATACCAACAATAACCCCTTTTACCCGGTAACAGTAAATGATAAAACTTTGCACGAACATTTCAAAAATGTGGCGGGACAGATGCTGGGCACTGAAAAGATCAGAGAATTGAAACCCTTAATGGGTACAGAGGATTTTTCATTCTTTGCCGAGGCTATTCCTGGATACTTCTACTTTTTTGGAATGGCGGATGAAACTAAAGGACAGTTTGAGTCAGGGCACAACCCTTTATACAGAGTTAATGAAGATGCACTTCCATATGGCGTTGCTTTACATGCATCGTTAGCCACGACTTATCTTCTCGAACATCAGTTAAAAGTAAGAAATGTTCATGATGAGTTGTAAGGTCCCCAAAGAGTCTAATAACCTCGTGGACCGAGAAGAATTTCTGCTACAGGAACAGGTATAAGTTTTAGACACAGCTGAGCGGAAATAGGTTTCTCTTTTTCTTTTACTTAATATGCAAACTCGCTCTAAATCAAGTTGGTGTTGGAGCTGGTTTGGTTGATTCTCCAAAAAGGAACGCGCTATGGGCGCGAGTTGTATTTTTCTTTTTCCAAATGTGATTGATATGAAATTCCATTGCTTGTGTAAGGTTAAAAGTTTTTCTTTAGATTTCGTTGTCATTATCCGTAGAGACAATTGAACTGCAAACTAGTCGTTTTTGCTTATAAATTGTCTTTCCTGCATACATGTATTGCTATGCTATTGATGGCAAAGGGTGAAACATCTCCATTTCCCGGGGGCGAAGCTACATTATCCGAAGGGTGGTAATTGACCACCCTTCGTTGAAAAAGCACACTATGAATGTATGACATATACTGAACACATTTTGTCGTGGAATTTTTTGCATTTCTCTCAAGTTTGAACATCTTTGCGGAAATTTCTGGCTTTGCCATCCCCTAAAGAAATAGTGTTTCATTTGAAGACTATGAATTTCGTTGAACTTGTACTAAATAATTGTATGGTATGTTCTTCAAAATCCCATCAGAGTTCCTTTCACGTAGAAGAGAGCTAGTTACATATGATTGAAAGTGTGCTCATTGCATGTTAAATTTCATCACGTTGACCCCTATAGATGGCTACAACAAGTCCAAGACCTCTATAATTAGTTATTGGTTTCTTTCCTTTTTTGGTTGAATAGGGAAGGAAGAATGGGGATAGTGAAAATCAAATCTAAACTTACTTTGAGAGACCTCTGCCGGCACCAGTTGATTACAAGTGAGGTCGCCAAGGCCAGTATAATTGACACAGAATTAGAATGTTGCGCCTCTTTGGTGGACAAAGTTTTTGTCCGATACTCATACTGGTATGAGATAGCAGTTACCCAGTACAAGACAACAATTGGCAACTCAAATGTTTGTAATATGCCTCCAATGATAAGCGTAGGAACACATGATGGAGCCTTCAGCCCTTTTTTCTGGGGCGGAGCCAGTATATTTGTTACGGGTTCGGTCGAACCCAGTAACTTTGGTTAGAATACCGAACCCAATAACTTTAAATCATGGCTCCGCAGCTCCGCCTCTGCCTTTTTTGCCTTGGTAATATGAACTTGGTCGTACCAAATATACTACTCTCCCTTTAGCCACATCTCATGCAGGGCGGATCTAGAGGGTAGCGTGCGGGTTCCCAATAACTTTTGCACGGTCCTTGTATATGTATTAAAAAATTCATTAAATATCTATAAATATTTAATTGTGAACCTAGTCGATAGTGTAAAATCGTTATAGGAACCCATAAACTTCAAAGTCTGGATCCGCCTCTGATCTCATGGGCGCTTTTGATCTTTTAGGTATGTCTATATGAAGCTGGCTTTAAATCCAGGGAGGCGCAGATCCTAGATGTCCCGACATGACCTTGAGAGAAAGCCACAAGGTTCGTAACTATAGATAGAAAAATCTTCTTTAGCTTGATTTGTTTATCTTAACGAAGGCAAAGCCCATCTTACCTGAACTCTAAAATAAACATGGTCAAAATTCACAAGAAATTCTAAAGCACAAATGGCAGTTTACAGGATTCAAAATGAATCCTCATCCAGCATTTGTAGAATTACCCACACTGAACTAAAACAGCATTGCCAGGAGCCATAACCTCTGTACAAAAACACACATAAAGTCAAGAGGGCAAGGCTCCTATAGCCCTGCGAGAGGAGTCTGTACTGACCACATAAAAAAATATTTGCACCACTTTCACACTTACTCAGTTGCTTGACATTTTTTGCAAGTACTAGAGATCTGTCTTCACTTTTCAGAAAACAATTCCAGCTTTTCAGATTGCATAGCAAAGAAATAATATCAAGGGAATCACTCCCTACGAATCAGAAGCAGTAACCCAATAGCTATAACACAACATTCAAGTCATGAATAAGATAGATATAATCAATAAAAGATAGCATGGCTGAAATTCAAATTCTTTCAAACATCAAACATTCATTGGTCCTACAAAAACAGGTCATAAACTAGTTTTCCGATTATCAGGTCCCAAAATTAAAATTTACAAACAAAACAAGGTGACAAAATTCTTGAACAACCACAATGGACGTCCTCTTCTACTTCTCTGAGGAGTTGGGCCCTCGTTTCTTTCCGAAACCAACCACTGCAAGCAAACGGAAGCAGAATTCAGTGAGAAAATATAATTTAAATGTCCAAAAGAGAAGATTCAAAAAGCTCATTTGCAAACTGAAGCATAGATACAAGCAATCAAACAGGGATATACCACTAACAAATAAAAGTAACCACACCAGAAATATCACATCACACTGGTACTCAAACTAGCAAAATAGAACAACACATCCACTTGTTCTTTTAATAGAAATAAATTAGATCTACTGTGTTAATATCATGAAATGCTGAACAGAAAAATAGACAAACTCAATTTAAACCACAGATGCTTTATTAAATCTCACAACCCCAAAGCTTGGCTAGAATGCTTACGATCATAGATTCAGGATTCTGAACAAAAGCTAATGGGTATTGGGGAGATTTCAAGTATGTTAAATTTCAATAGCACATTCATACACCAACACGACAGTTTATGGTAAAACCCCACCCGCACCTCACTAATATAATACTTTATCATTGTAAAGTAATAAATGAGGTGAAAATGGACATTAATTGACTATGGTTAGATGATAAAAGAGTATGCAGAATACACAAGTTATGTTAACTTTCACTAGCACATTCATACATCAATATGAGCAATGTATGGTAAAACCTCACCCGCACCACACCAATACAATAGTCTATCATTGCTAAGCACTAAATGAGGTGTTATTGACCATGGTTAGATAATAAAAGAGTATGCAGAATACACATGTTATGTTATTGCTGGTGTGGTGTGAAAACCATGTGCGAGTAAGTGCTTACTCGCATACATAAAATTTGTACATTTGACCGATACAGACTTTCTGTGCATCATTATTTGTCACTTTATCTACAGTTATCAACAGTTTTATTCTGTTTTATGCTTTGCATACTAATGGACGTGTTTGTACCTACTAATATATACTCCTGTTAGCCTGTTTCATATACATTTATATATAAACAAATGAAACAGGGAAACTAAACTACTTTTTTTTGTGACAAAATTACTAGGACTGTGTACGCTTGAATATATTACTCCCTCCATTTAAATTTAGGTGATCGCTTATCAAGAGTCACTGTATGAATTTGACCAACATTTTAAAATGTATTTTTTATCATATTGACACGAGGAAAATTGCAATTTACAGTACTTTTCACATAGTTTTTGAATACCGACATTGTAATTTTAAAATACTGAGTTGAACTAATCCATATTTAATCCATATTTAGCTTTAACGTTTAGTTAAATTGACTCTCGATAAACAAAATGTGTCACCTAAATTGAAACAGAGGGAGTATTAACTTTTTCAATTACAAATATAGTTCAAGCCGAAAACAGTATTTAGATCCATAAAGTGAAATAAAGAAAGAAAAAATATGCGTACCAGCAGTAACAAATCGCCTGTTGTATTGCATGCGCTTGTGAGCGCGTCCGCGTGGCTTCTTCTTCTTATCTTGCTTAGCAACCTTAGGTGTTTGCCCTCTCACTTTCCCGGCACGAGCTAATGATCCGTGTACCTTACCTACAATTAACAAATCCAAACTACAAAATTAATCCTTAATCAACAAATTAATCAGTTACCTAATCACACTTATATACAGAACAACAGAATCTAAATAAATCGAGAATGAAGAGAGATATAGTGAAGAGCAACTAAGCTTACCCATGGCTGATTTGCTGGTTGCTGGTCGCCGGAGAAGATGGAGGTGTTTGGAGCTGCGAAAGTTAAGAAATGCTAGGGTTAGGGTTTTTGGAGATTAGGAAGGTTTATATATGTGGAGCTGGTAAGGCCTGAAACTGTCCTGGGCTTCGGAGTTGAAATTTGGACCTTAGGAGAAGAAACGTGGGCCATACGAAGAGAAGGGATCTTTACACAAGTAGCCGGTCATATTTATTGTTTATTTTTTCTACCCGTATACCTATATTATATATTGATTATACATATATTAAATATAAATTATACATGTATTAAACCTCTGCTTGCTATTTTTAGTTTAAGAGATTGAGTGGGCAGCTAATCGGGTAATTCTTCTATGAAGAAAGTCCAAGTAGTGGTCCGGGAAGAAAATCAAAATGGGCAGATTTACAACTGGTAATTAAAAAATAGCCACAGTTTCAAAAGTAATCGAAATTTAGCCGCTTTTTCATGTAACAATAAAACTTGAATAAAAACACCCATAATAGTCTAAAAATATGCTGGAGTTCGAATTTTTTACATATGAGCTTCCAGCATAATGTGTTGGAATTTCATAATGTGCTGGAGTTCTAATATAATATGCCGAAAGTTTATATACAAGAGCTCCATAATCCCGCATATTATGCTGGAACTTTCCGTGTGCTGGAGTTCCAATACACTATGTGAAAGTTTATACGCAAGAGATCCATAATCCGCATATTATGCCGGAACTTTTCGTATTTCAGCAAACCAATGACTATTTTTCAATGACCTTGCAAACGCTGATTATTTTTTGATTACCAATTTGAAAAATGGTTGGCCCGTGCTATTTTCACTTGTGCCCTTGATCCACTTGGCTAATTTACGCAAGTGTCCCTTTTTAGGTCATAATTTTACCCTTTCGGACACAATATTAGAGTCGGGAGTTTCCTCGTATATTTCTCAACCTTACAACAATAATCTACATAATTTTAGAATATGGTTTAATATTTTCAATTTGCTCAAAAGGGAACTTTAGACTGTATTTCCAAAAGTCTACAAAATTCAAGAAAAATAAAAAGAGTCATTTCCTATACAGTTGTTCCAAAAGATAGATAATTGGCAAAAAAAAAGATTGGATCCACTTGCAGAATCATTCACTTGCTTGTAAGAGAACAACCCAAATTGAAAATGCTGAGTCAGACATTAAAATAAAATTTAACATATACTTTGGCTTGGTTTGATTTTTCACTTGACTAACCTGCTATGATCAGTGAGTTAGTCACCCTATGTCAAGGGTGCTCAAGGGTGTAGGCATGTAAATTTTATTAAAATTAAATCCATGAAATAATTTGGACTATATTTTAAATTCAAGATATATTAGTCCAAATAAATATATGGGCTAATATAATTGAATTAATTATATAAGTCCAATATATATGGATTAAATAA